GCATTTGGAGAGTGTGTGTGTGTGTGTCAGCCAGTGTCTGTATTTAATAATGACGTTGTTCAATTGAAGGTGATGGTAATTAATCTTACGAACCATCCGTCTGATGGCATATGCCTAATACTTTTACAAGCCTTTATCTAGCAATATCATTGTCATTCCAAGACTCTGAATGTTGTAAACAGCAAATAGTATTTATTTCGTTCAGTGACTATTTGCCCCCCCCCCCCAATCCTTGTTTCTGACTTGTGTAGATTACGTCACCTTTAGTCTGGTGTCTTTAAAAAAAGGTAATCTATTTTTTCAAATACTTGTATGATGTATTATACATTTGTATCTTATATATTTATTTATTCATTCAACTATTTTTTTAAATGCCTAATAAAATATAAATATAAAGCTAACCTTATTGGCGGGAAGGTGAGGGAGACAGAGGTGCTGTCAGTGCTGACTACCCTTCCATATTCCGTCCCTCAATTGTAGAAGACCCCTGCCAACATGGAATACCACACGCAGAAAATCACTGAACGTGGAAGAATAATCAGCATGAAGGAGGCTGGGTTTTCACCCATTGAAATTGCCCGACAATTGGGGGGAGGGAAATTTAAAAGACCACCACAGGACGGGAAAGCCGCTCAGAAAAACACCTGCACAAGTTGAAGCCATACGGAATTTCGCCGAGGTCAACCCCTTCAAGACTTCATGTTCAATAAGAGAGGATCTCCAATTAAATATTACCCCTTTAACAATCAGGCGAAGACTTCACGAAGGAGGCATTCACCATAGAATTTCCACCACCAACGAGAAGTTAAATGAGCGACATCGCGAGGGCAGGTTGCAGTTTGCTCGACGGTATGCTGAAGAAGGCCTAGATTTCTGGAGAAGAGTAATATTCACTGACGAAAAAAACTTTCTCATCTACCTCTCACGGAAGGTTATATTGCGGAGGAGGAACAACACTCGATATGATAGACAACATATTTATGAGGAAGCAAGGGTGTCCATGTGACTTGCAATGTTTGAGGATGGATATATTTGCGCAGAGTTGGAGAGCTGACTGACATAGAAGGAAGATTCACAGCTGAACAGTATTTAGAAATACTCGAAGAAGTTATGCTTTCCTCGGTGCGTGCATATGCTTTCCCGTTTCCCGAAAACATATTTTTCATGCACGATAGGTGTCCTATCCATACTGCATGGATTGTAGCGCGGTGGTTTGCAGAACAAAGAAATTTGCAAGTTTTAGACTGGCCAAGTAAAGGTCGTGACATGAACTCTATAGAGAACGTTTGGGCCAATATTGTAAACATGTGGGAGCCAACTGAAGAGAGAACCAGGGTGCAGCTACAGGAGCATACACACCGTGAATGGGAGGTCCTGAGGCGGAAACCGCAACTGATACACAATCACGTCGCCTCTGATCCCAACAGGCTGCAGCAAGTAATCGAGAATGAAGGTGGCTGGACTAAATATTAATGTGTCAGAAATAATTTCTCTGTGTAATCAACGTCACATACTGAATGCTGCACATCAATATTAATTTTTTTTCCATGTTAACTGAAATAAATATAATTTTCATGAATATATGTCAAATTGTATAATAAATGTAAAGAAAACGATCCTCTTCTAATATCCTCACTTATGCAGTATGTATTCAGGATGATTTAAGTCAAACAAATCATAACATTATACTTATAATTATTATGAAAGAGTACAGTATCATATGTGATAAATATATCGCATGTGAAATAATTACCATATCTACCGCGGATAAAATCAGAGAGGGAGACGGAGACAAAGAAATAACTGTATAACGACACAATTCATACAATACTGTATGTAATGGTCCGACACAGCTGTCCGATCCGTCTTTTCAAGTCACTTGTGACGAGGAAATTGATATTTCATATTCCAATCTCATAATCTCATATTTAATAAGTTCATGTCATGCCGTTCACAATATATTTATGTATTCTTGGAAAACGTTTACTGTAATAATTGTATTTTTATATATTTTTCTCTCCATTTATTTATAAGAAATGGGAAAAAATCCTTGTCAAAATACTAAACTAGGTTACAACGTTACCTCACAATTATTTCATAACTTACAATAATGTTCCAACACTCACGCACACTTGCATGGAAACATACGCATTATATTAATTAGTGAAATTTCGTACTGAAGGTATAGCTAATGCGGTAGCATGTGTAGACCTTTCAACTGTCATTACGATTGTCATCTGAGTAGACTTACCTTATTAGATATTTAAAATGACATTTCTTTCGATTATCAATTGTTTGCCAGCAAAAAAAATTGTTTTAAACTGGTTCACCACAGGATCGCATTGGAAAGTCTTTCATTTCGTAGAAACTGTGTAGTATTCATTTCATGACATATAATTGCAACCGAAATAAATATATGAATAAATAACACATTATATATAGATTTTTATTTTTAATACCTCACAGGGAATGTAAAACATATAATTTCATTAAATAAACTTAATAATACTGTTTCATTTATAGAACTGTTTTTACCGACAAGCATTGACACACAAGAGACTAAGGCGCACACACACACACACACACTTACTACAGGTAGCAGTGAACAGATGATTCTGCTTAATCCCACAGCGAATTAAAACCGCAGTTTGTGTTACATGAAATCGGCGTCTTTAGAAAGAAGTCTGTTTAGCATCGGTTACATACAACTGGATTAATTATCCGAAAAGGATTAAACATTTGAAGATAATATTAGTATAAATTAATGATAAACAGGCAACATTGTAAACAGCCTGCACACAGCTGTGCCCGATGCATGATGTTCTTTAACATACTTACCGATTTTTACTTATGTTTAATTGTCTATCCATTTTATAATCAAATTAACAGTATATACCAGCAGAAAGGTATAATATAATACGAAACAACAAAGCCCAACCATTAATTAAGCAACGGGGAACTCAGTAACCAATCACCGATCACTTTTACATTCATTCATAATTTTTACTACGTAGTATAGTAAACAAATGGCCTTGAGTTGCCAGCTGTCTCCAGTAGTGTTCGAAGAATCTTGAACGAGACTGTACATATGACTTTAAATAATTATCTACACAAAGTATTAAAATATTAATTAATATGTAATCTTATAAGCTTAGTTATTTCAATGAGCAAATCAGTAAATCAGCTACGAAATGACTAGAATATGTATAAACCGGCGGGTAGGGGAAATTTGTATCTTCTAAACTACACTTTGTATGAATACCAAATTTAATGAAAACTCACTACGTAATTTAATAATAAGTTTACTGAATAAAAACAATTATCATTTATAGTTCAGAAGATAAATAATATTAAGCATAAAAGTTTCCCGCCATTTCACCCGTCAAGTCAGACGCCAGGAGACCGGGGAGAGACGCAGCTGATACAAGCAAGGAAACGTGCAGAAGCAACACTCATCATGAGCGCGGACCTCATTTCAACCTCTGGCGAGGATATATTATCTACAATCCACTATTTATTTTAGCATCTCCTAGCAACTAATTAATACAACAACTTAGTTTATTTAATATGTGTATACCAAGATTCAAGATCTTCAGGATGCTAACTACTATAGATCCCTCCACGACCAAGGAAATCTCCATGAAAGATCTCAGCAAAGGATTTGTTTTACTTGTTATGTCATTGATTTTATGAAGGCTATCTACCCTGACTCTTGATTTGGGTGCCAATATGCACGGACAATAGAGTCGGGATAGTGGTATGGCCAATACATTTATGATGGTGGAGAGCGTCGATGACACCAGACGCCGATTCAGATTTTTTCAGATTTGCCCCCGAGGGGGCTAGTTTATTGGGCACCCCCTTACATCCTGTGCAAGGTGAAGCGCAGAAGCGTTTACAGCGCCCAACAGGGAAGTATGAAAAGTTCATACTTGCCTTTATGACTCGTACATTAAGGGCGTAAAAGCCTGAAGGGTCATAGGTTCTGTCAAGTTACATAAAGTGAGAGAATGATGAGTGTGTGGGGGGAAAGTTCCCGGTACATTTTATCTGTTTATGGCAAAGAGTGGCAGGTCCCTAATAGTGTCAAATGCCAGGCCTGTGACTAGGAGGAGGGATATCTGGTCTGGGAGGGAAGAGGTGTTGGTAACGGCTGGGGACCTATAGGAGGAGGTCATAGGGCAAGTGAGGATGTAGTGAGAGAGGGTGTGAGAGTCGGACACCAGACGCCGTGACCACTCCATTTATTTTTTAAGTAAATAGTAAATTTAAATAATTCGTTCCGGTATTTGATAGTATAACCGTATTATTTTATTGCTGCTACGAAGTAGGGTCTCGAACTTTCACGTATTAAGACTTACCACGGGACTAGTAGTCCTACCACCAATGTGGCCTCTCTGTACAGTAATTGCCGTGACCATTCTCTTCTCCTAACTCGAGTCCCTGTGTGTAGCAGTGAGGAAGGAGGCGGAGCGAAGGCTATCATCGTCCATGTTTGTTGACCTTTTAACTCCTCCTCTGGTGGTCCGTTCAGACTCTGAACGGACCACCATTTTCGTGACGTCATCGATGATTATATTACGTCAGGGACGGTTGGGTTTAAAACTATCTTGCAATAATTGAACCTTCAAAAAGTGTGAAGTAAAGGAAAAATGATACAAATTCACTAACAATTAAGGAAAAAACAAATGAATTTCAAATACAGGACTTGTTGGCACAGCGAAGAGTATGGTTGTTATAGCACTTGTCTCTCGTAATTCTGTCTCGAATTAAATCCCAGGGTTGGATGGGGAAAAGGTATTATCCAGTTTTACCCAACTAAACATGGAAGTTTTCTTCGGGTACTCGGGCTTTCTCCTGTACTAACTAAACAATGAAAAAACTTATCAGATATAATTGGAGATCAGCAAGCTACTGACTTATTTCCACCGTCAAAACACTGAGTTGATCGGTGAAGGTTAGAAAGAGCTGAACATGGTAGTTGCAGGGACAATACTCACCTGGATTGTCGGGGAAAGGATTGGGGAGGAGCATCCCGAATGGGGGCGGGAGGTGGAGCGTTTGGACGCCACGGAGCTGGTGGACTTGTACGACCTGGCGATATCAGTCAACTGGCGGATCTGGTCATCAGAGAAGTCCGGGTGACGGAAGGGCAGGTTGCGCTTGCTGTGGAGTAGAGACGACTGTTAGTTGACTAGTCACAGGAAACACTTATTAAACAAACAAGGAGGTACTACCACCTGGGAAGATGTTGAAGCAAAATGTATTGTCTAATGGTAGACCCTGCTGCCATATGGCATCACAAAACTTGTGACAATTCCCTGGGTGTTGATCTTACTTTCTGCCTCATTTACACACGACTGCAGGGTTTCAATTGTCTCTCATTATTGATCTTTTTTTAATTTTTTGTATTTATTTATGGTCCATTATTATTATTATTATTATTATTATTATTATTATTATTATTATTATTATTATATTTGAATCTAATATTTTTTATACTTTTTACAAATTTTATTAATTATTATTATTATTATTATTATTATTATTATATTTTTGTTTCCAGGCCCTGCTGTGGGTCATTGACCTGTGCCCTGGTGGGCTAATTCCGTAAAAAAAGAAGGTAATACGTAATGATCAAAATAACACACAAGCAAATTAGCTTGACTCAGTCATCTGGCCACAACAAGCAATCAATGGTACATTCACACCACAATTATGACAAAACTTCCCTGATCATTCAAAGTTATCTTGTTATAACTTATAGCTAAAACTTCGGTACAAATATACAAGGATTGTCTTATGACAAGTTCAGTATAAGGAACAAGTACGAGTAACTCGAACAAAGCAGCGACAAACCAGCGTAGAAATTAAATCTTTTCATCGGTGCATGAATACACTACGTGTGTGTTGGTGTGCGGATTAGTGGATGTCATGATTATGACCTGACCTCATGTTTAATAAGATCACCCTGTATATTTAAGCCTGTCTATGTAATTCAGTTGCCTCTGAAGATGTCTTGAATAAAGACAAAAGCTAAGGTGCTCCGTTGTTTCCCTTTTCCCGTGTGATTTTATCAATATATATATATATATATATATATATATATATATATATATATATATATATATATATATATATATATATATATATATATATATATATATATATATATATATATATATATATATGTATATTCCCAATATATATATATATATATATGATATATATCATATATATACATATATATATATATATATATATATATATATATATATATATATATATATATATATATATATATATATATATATATATATATATATATATATATATATATATATATATATATATGTCTGTGTGTGTGTGTGTATGCTTTACAATTAAAACAAGAAGCCCAAAAGCTGTACAATATAACTAGTATTAAATAGTAAAACTGGTTACACCTAAGAATTTTTGGGGAAAACCCAAAATCTAGGACTTTCCTATTATTGTACAGTCTCAGCCAAACGTTCGTTAACTCTCCCAGCCAACCAGTGCTGCACTGCTTGCTTCAAATGTATGAACTTGAGTCTGTTACTTCGAACCTTTAGATTAATTCGTATTGGTTTCATATTCTGGTTGGTACTGAGACAGTTACAAACATCTGAAGCTGGCAGTGCAACAATAGCTGGCAAGGAGAGTTAACGAACTCTTGGGTGAGACTGTACCTAGTTTTAACTAAACAGCACTAAGTGAGAAAACTAAGTTCTTCCTGGAATTACCTAGTTACCTCAGGAAAAACTAGGTGCCATAGCAGTTATGCGTTGGTTAGGTTAGGATAAGTTACATTAAGTTAGCTTGGGTTAAGTTGGATTCCGTTAGGTTGAACATAAGAATGGAGGAAACTGCAGCGGGCCTATTGGCCCATACTGGGCAGTCCCGTTTACACCCAACCCCTATTGCTCATATAAGCATCCAACCTATGTTTGAAGCTATTCAGCGTATTCGAGTTAATGATGATATTTGGTAACTTGTTCCATTCATCCACTACTCTGTTTCCAAACCAGTGTTTACCTATTTCACGCCTAAATCTAAATTTGTCTATTTTAAAACCATTGTTACGAGTTCGCTCCTGGTTGGATAGTTTGAGTACCTTTGTAATGTCCCCTTTATTTAGCCCTGCCTTCCACTTATACACCTCTATCAGGTCGCCCCTCGCTCTACGTCTCTCGAGGGAGTGCAAATTAAGATGCTTTAACCTGTCTCTATACTCAAGGTTCCTAATGTCCGGGATTAGTCTTGTCATTCTCCTCTGAATTCTTTCCAAGGATTCTATATCCATTCTGTAATACGGTGACCAGAACTGAACTGCGTAATCCAGGTGTGGTCTCACATGAGCAAGATACAGTTTTAGGATGACCTCGCTAGTCTTGTAACTAACAATCCTTTGTATGAACCCAAGTACTTTATTAGCCTTGTTACGAGCAAAAATACATTGTTTACTTGGCTTAAGGTTCCTACTTATCATTACTTCTAAATCTCTCTCGCAGTCGGATTTCTCTATGGCATCGTTGTTCATCTGGTATCTGGTTTCCCTGTTTACATCTCCTATACTGAGTACTTTACATTTGTCCACGTTGAATTTCATCTGTCATTTTTCAGACCATTCGAAAAATTTTTTAGATCTTCCTGTAGTTTTGCGGAGTCTTCGTCAGACTTAATAACACGTCCTATTTTAGTGTCATCAGCAAATTTGCTTATGTTGCTGTCTATGCCGATATCTATGTCGTTTATGTATATAATAAATAATAATGGTCCAAGTACTGAGCCTTGGGGAACTCCACTTGTGACGTTGCTCCAATGGGACTTAGTGCCATTAATGCTCACTCGCTGTTTCCTGTCCTGTAACCACGCCCTAATCCAATTAAGGATATTACCTTTGATGCCATGTGCTTCTACCTTTCTAATTAGTCTTTCGTGGGAGACTCTGTCGAAGGCTTTGCTAAAGTCGAGATATACCACATCATAATTGTGCCCCTCGTCCACCGATTCGAAAACTGATGAAAAGAATGTTAATAGATTAGTTAGACATGAACGTCCGCTTGTGAAGCCATGCTGGGAATCATTGATCAATAGGTGCTTCTCCAGGTGATTTCGAATAGAGTTTGAAATGATTGCTTCCAGTAATTTGCCTACTATTGAAGTTAGACTGATTGGGCGGTAGTTGGAGGATGGTGATCTATCCCCCTTCTTGAAAATCGGTATTACATTTGCTATCCTCCAGGATTTTGGTACTACACCTGTTTTCAAGGACATGTTAAACAACTTTGCTAAGGGCATACTAAGCTCTTCCTTACAGTCCTTTAATACTCTGGCAAATATCTCATCGGGACCAGGTGACTTATTAGGCTTTAGTTTGTCTATTTGCTTACTAACATCGTTACTAGTCACTACTATCTCGCTTAATTTGTTTTCTTTACTGTCTCTGAAAAGAGTCGGTGCCCCGGGTATCATATTTAAATTTTCGGTGGTGAAAACTGTTGAAAAATATTTATTCAAATTATTGCTCATTTCTCTGTCGTTATCAGTGAGCTCGCAGTTATCTGACCATATTGGTAAAATATTTTCTCGTGTTTTAGTTTGATACATTTGGTAGAATCCTTTGGGGTTTGTCTTCGCCTCCCTTGCTATCCTTACCTGATTATTCCTCTTGGCTTTCCTTATCTCGGTTTTAACCCTACTCCCCAATACCCTATAATAATCCCGGAGGTAAATTTCGCCACGATTTATCCTTCTACCTATAGCCTTCCTTTGGCCAATGATGTTCTTTAAATAATTATTTATCCATTTAGGGTCATTGTTGTCTGATTTGAATTTTTTTAATGGTATGTTCTGCCTTTGTACATTAAGTAACTCATTATTTAAATTGTCATGGAACTCGGCAATCTCAGATCTCGTTATCAGGTCGGTGTCATCTGTCAGGTTCACGGCCAAGCGCGACACCCCCTCTCTCAGCTGCCTCTTTAAACTGGCAAAGTTTGCCCTTCTGAAATCTGGTACTTTAGTGGAATTTTCCTTACGTCTGCCCTGAAAATCTAACTGGAATCTAATTTCTTTGTGATCGCTGTTTGCAAGTTTGTTCCCTACCTCGACATTGCTAATGAGGTTTTCTCTGTTTGACAGAACTAAATCGAGTATATTATTACCCCGGGTGGGTTCGGTTATATGTTGACTTAGGAAACAGTCCTGGATCGTCTCGAGAAAGTCCTCTGATTCTGAGTTACCTGTAAGGTCAGTCCAATCTATTTGGCCAAGGTTAAAGTCGCCTACTATACAGACTTTGTTGTGTATGGAAGCCCTGCGCATTTCATCCCAGATAAGTCGCTCATTGACTCTATCAAGATTGGGAGGTCTATATATTACTCCTGTGATTAATTTTTCCCTACCTTTGATTAATTCTATACAAATTGTTTCTGTATTCCGCTCAGTTTTTATTTCTTTATTTAGTTCACACTTCAGATTATCCCTAACATAGATTGCTACTCCGCCTCCTTTCCTGGTCTGCCTATCGGTATGGAACAGTTTGTAACCCGCAATTTGGTATTCGACCGGTAACTCACGTGAGTCTAGGTTGATCCATGTTTCAGTGAATGCTTTTATATCGATTTTTTCGGTACATACCAAGGCCCTAATATCATCGATTTTGTTTCTCATACTTCTACTGTTCGCTTAGTATACATTTAGTCGTGTTCTGAGTCCTCCCCTTACGGCGTTTAGTTTTAAACTCCCTGTCTAATTTAGTTTTGTCATGATTCCTAACACTATTTCCCTGTAATCTTTCACTTTGTTTACCCGCTCCCACTGCATTCTCCTCCACCCCCGTGCTCATATGTTCTCCTAGCAGTTTAAAGACTTAGATGTCTTTTGAACTGCCCCCTCTAGAGCCCCAGCCAGGGTTGCTACTCCATCCCTAGACAGGTGCACCCCATCCCTAGCATAAAGGTCCCTTCTGCCATAGAAGTTGTCCCAGTTGTCAATGAATGGGACTGATATTGACTTGCAATATCTGTAAAGACGGTCGTTGTCACCAACTGCCCTTGACAACCATTCACTGCCAACTCTCCTTCTAAGCAGGACACAGCATATGATAGGGATCCCTCCCTTAGTCCTAATACGATCTATAGCTGCCTTGAACTTATCAAGAAGCTCCTCGCTCCTACACCGGCTAATATCATTGCCTCCTCCACTGAGGCAGATAATGGGTTTGTTCCCATTATCAGACAAGATATTGTCCATCCTGTCAATTATATCCCCCACCCCAGCTCCTGGCAAACACACCCTCATCCTATTTATGTTTTTACCACAAAAAGCCCTGTCCAAGTACCTTACCTGTGAGTCACCAACAATTAAAGTTTTTATACCTTCCTTGTCAGCCTTGTCCCTGACTGTACTAACGTCCAATTCGTCTATCAAGGGATTGAACGAGTTGGTACACTTAGCTGCTGATGTCGTTGTTGACGTATCCTTGATGTGTTTCTTCATCACCAGTTTGGTCTTCCCTCTCCTTACAACCTTCCACTCGCTTGAATTTTCGTCAGACACTGGCTTTCTTGAATTTTCGTCAGACACTGGCTTTCTTGAATTTTCGTCAGACACTGGTTTTCTTGAATTTTCGTCAGACACTGGCTTTCCCTGTCCCGCCTCCCCCTTCAATCTCGCCATCTCTTCTTTTAATTTCAGGTTCTCCAACGTGGCCCTCTCTATTTCTTCCTTGGCCCTCTCCAATTCTTCCATGGCCCATTCCAGCTTGGCCAACAAACTCGCAGACCCCAGACCACACATAGCGCTGGCCATATCTGATAATTATCCCTCGGGAGCTAACCCTGCCGTGACCTTTCCCCTAGTGAGGTCAGAACACTAGGTTTGGTTAGATTAGTCAAGTCGATTGTAGGGTGAGTGATGCAGGTCCTAGCAAGTCTCTCTTTTTTCACCTTCTCCACACACTACGACGACTAATACTTGGTTGTCACTTGGAATCGAGTATGACGATCATCCAGCTATGATACAATGATATGAGTTATTAAGGATGTCACCTATGTTGGTGAGTTCTGAGGTGACTTGAGAGGCCGATACAGGACCGGCAGGGTCATTCACAGATGTTGCACGTGTGGAAGGCTACATCTAGTGCGCGAGGGGCAGTGGCAGCATTTTTCCAGCGCTGGCGCTTGTCTGCCTCGTTTTGCAGTTGGGCTAACTCGAAAGTATTGACACCTCGTGTGGTGCTCCTCGAAGCGTTACGGTGTCGTGTAATAATCTCCCAAGTGAGAGGGTCGATTTGGCACTTTTTAAGGTTTGTCTTAAGACTATCCTTATGCCATTTCATTTGTCTGCCAGTGTTACGTTTACTATTCGTTAGGTAAATGTAAAGTAACTGCTTTGGAAGTCTACTGTCGTTCATGCCGGTAACATAGTCAGTCCAGCGTAGTTGTTCACAGCCGGTCAAAGCATAGTTGTTCATGGATAATGGTCGCCTTGATGCTCCTACAGTTGGTGTCAGCGAGAAAACGTAGAATACGTAGAATACGTTCGTGAAAGTTTTCAAGTGCCTTGAGGTGCCTCCTCTAAGTGAACCATGTCTCGCTGCCATATAGTCGGATGGGAAGGACCACTGCTCGATATACGTGCAACTTTGCAGATAATATCAGCTCCCTGCAGCTGAAGACACGAGTACGTAGTCCGCCAAAAGCTTGACATGCACATCTGATCCAATGTTGAATCTCTTCATCGATGTCCGCAGTGGTGGACAGGTGGGAGCCTACAGGAGATCCTGAACACCTACCTTCGCTGTGGAGATTAATATAACCTTTTCCTTTTCTATTTTAAGTTTCTTTCTATTCTTACTTACTCGCCCCCTAGGCCCCGATGTGGGTCGTTGACCTGTGTCCGGGTGGGCTAATCCCCGTAAAAAAAAAAAAAAATGAGACATTGGACACTGTCAATATTTTGTTTTCATCCGTTGTAGTTGTTCGCTACACCCGGGAGTTAATACCAGCTAGTGTCTCTGGCTAGTGTGTAAACATCTGCATCACATAAAGGGAAAATTTGTTTATTTTTGTAAATTCTAATTATTTTTGGCCAAATGTTTTAGTTTTTTTTTTTTTTAGAAAATTTCTTCCTCCTTGATTATCTTAATGATCTGCCTCGATTTTTTTTTTCTTCTATGGGATTAGCCCACCAGAGCACAGGTCAACGTCACACATTAAGGCCTGGGGGCGAAATAATAATAATAATCATAATAATAATAATAATAATAATAATAATAATAATAATAATAATAATAATAATAATAATAATAATAATAATAATAATAATAATAATAATAATAATAATAATTAAAAAAATAGTGAGAATCGATATATGTATGTTGTGTTGTCAAAGTGAGAGAGACAATTGAAACCCTGCAATTGTGTGTAAATGAGGCAGAAAGTCAGATCAGCAACCTGGGACTTGGTCACAATTTTTGTAATGCCATATGGCAGTAGGGTCTACCATTAGACAATACATTATACTTCCAATATCTTCCCAGGTAGCAGTACCTCCCTGTTTGATAGCTGCCTACTACCTACTACCTCTAATGCTGTGCCTTGATTATCTTAATGATGTGCCTCGATTATCTTAATGATGCGCCTCGATTATCTTAATGATGTGCCTCGATTTTCTTAATGATATGCCTCGATTAGCTTAATGATGTGCTTCGATTAGCTTAATGTTGTGCTTCGATTATTTTAAGGAAGTGCCTCGATTTTCTTTGTGATGTGCCTCGATTATCTCAATGATGTGCCTCGATTTTCTTAATGAAGTGCCTCGATTTTCTGAATGATGTGCCTCGATTACCTTTATTATGTGCCTCGATTATCTTAATGATATGCCACGATTAGCTTAATGTTGTGTTTCGATTGGCATAATGTCATACCAAGAGTAATAAATATACCAAACTGAATATGTAAAATTTGTGATATATGAAAAAAATAGTTAATGAAAATTGTGTGATGTGTGATTCAGTGTATAACTGTTCATATACCGATTATATAATCTTAGAAATAGTTACGGTTTATTTAATCTCAGTTGCATATGCATTTCTTTATTTATTTTAATTTTTTCACTCAAGGCTTACATAATTTCCTTTAACAGGTAAAATATTTTGGAATATTACGCAATTATTTATGGCTCTGGTATGTTTTAATTCCTGTATTGTTAATTGAAGAGGAATGTTATATGAAAACTACTGTGCGTAAGACTAAAGTAAAATGCAGCACCGGCAAATATTATATTAACTAGTGTGTTGTGAAATGATTATCTCTCCTCCTCGCTTTAATGTATTACATGCTGAAATTTCGCCCTAACGCTTCCATGCTGTTATATTTTCTTATCCTGGTGGCATAATGTAAATATAATATCTCTGCCCTTTACATACTGCGTCTCATTTCATTATTAACCATTTAATATCATTACTGTACCTTAAAGTATAGATAATCTTGTTTATTTAGATACTCTTAATTTTCCAGGTGTTCTAAAATAACCTAGGAATATTAAACCTTTCCTCGTACATTAAGATATAAGCGTGAGGATATAATTTATATGTAACAGAAATCTCCCAAAATCTTTGTTGTGAACGTCCTTAAATGGTAAAGGTTAAAGCTCGTAAACATAAGAAAAGTACAATCCTGCACTTTTACGGTAGCTGTGATTAATGACCGTACAACAGTTGATGTGAAGCAAATGGAAGTCCACTGTGCCATACACACACACACACACATCAAATAACTATGTTTTGTTGGAGTGTCAAACCCATAGTGCTGAAAAATAAATATGAATATTCAAGCACCTGTTGTAGTGGTAGAAGAGACTACTACATTTTGAATGCAAAGTAAAACAACCTTAACTGAGGAATTCATTCTTCATCTGCCCGATTACAGTAGAATTACTGTAATTATCAGTACATCGTTGAAACTCTGATATATTCAGACGTGTATTGAGGATATAGTGAGGTTTGGGAGGGAAGAAATAGGGATTCTAGCTCGTTTTTCCTTATAATTTTAATTTATTTGTTGATTTTGGGTACTTGAGTGTGTGTAGAATACGAAATTGAACCCTGTTCAATTTACAAATGGCATTTTGGTGCATTAATTGGGCATTTTATGTAATTAAACAAATTACCCGACATAGGAAACGGCTTATAACTTCTGAACTAAGGCACATAAGGGATGATTTGTTGATTGGGGCATTCTATATTGTCATAAATCTAATTACAGTATAGTTAAAATAAAAACATGATGTATTCATGGTTTACAGCTGACCCATTTTATCTTTTATCACAATACACTATATTTTATGATCCTGCATAACCACGATTCAGCCGATCTCTTTGAGGCCTGTTCCCGTGACTTTACCAGCAACATCAATGAGAGCGTCTAAAAGGAGCAGAGTGGCGATTTGGCTGTATATCTGACCATTTACATGCGTCAAGTTGACTGCCTTCTCCACCTTCTTCGCGGGTGCCGATCATGTGATATAGTACTTGAGAAACAAGTTCAATTACTACTTTGGCTATGACTTGGAGCAGGATATCCGGCGCTTGAAGGTTGTCGGGTGTGACTGGGACACCCAGAATAAAGCCGCCCTGAATCGATTTATGCTTATTGCCCCTGAACTCGTCCAAATTTTGTATGCCCAAACCGGGAAAAGGATTAATTTAATGAGGCCATGGCATTATACTACATATATTTGCCTTTGACTTTGACTTTTTACATGGAAAAAGAATAATTTAGGGAACATAATAATGGAATATATCAGCTAAAGCCTAACAATATAATTATTATCTTATTTTTACAGTATAGTGTGGTATTTGTATTAATGATCAAGAAGAAAAAAATAATTCAAAAGGTTCTTCTCCTTATCTTTAGTTACTGTATTTCGTCACCACTGCAAGAGTTAACATTAATATAAAAACAACATCAACAACATTAGGGAGTCTCACCCGTTTGCTGGAACCTTCTCTGCGCTGGACTGTGGCTTCTGAACCTGTCCCATGGCCTACTTAGTTCCACACGTCAACTAGACACCTCTCCTTTGTTGCACTTATATTTTTCTTTCCATTATTTAGGATCCTCCCCCTCTTGTGTTTTATATTGTTTTAGCTGTGGAGTACAGAATTTAATGAGCTTTTTCTTTATATATTATCTTCACTGCTCATTATTTGTTTCACTATTAGAACAAAATATTAATTATAAATAAATAAATAAATAAATAAATAAATAAATGAATAAATAAATAAATATATATATATATATATATATATATATATATATATATATATATATATATATATATATATATATATATAACTTCAGCAATGGACTTGTTACGTGGAAAGCGTAGTTTCATAACGAAGAGGAGAACCAGGGAAACACAAACATCTTGACTAAGTTGGGCTTCTTTTAATCAATAACGTTTCGGAAATAATAATTTTCCATCATCAGAGCCCAGAAAACAAAAGTTTTGAAAAAGCTTTACAAATGCAGGTGATATACAATAAAAACATAGCATTATACGAAAATGTACCTTCGATACAATTTAAAAAAAAGAGCAATCCAACTTAAAACCGACAAAAATGACGAGAGACCTACATACAAAGCTAAAATCAAGAATAAAAAGTGTGCAATAAAATATACTGGGGGGTATTACCTTAATTCAGACGAGCCTTAGTGCGAGAAACACAACAATTCACAGGAAGCCATATCACAAATGGATGGCTTTTCTTTATATTGGTGCAAGGCTTCCATATTGAGGAGGTCCGTCTCACAGTCGCTCTTGCCGAGAACTGAGAAATCGGACGGCGAAAACGGGTGGTCATGTTGGTGGGCGTGGTTACGAATAGCTGAATGTGGTGGTTGTGTGATTAACTGGCCCAAGTGTTCATGGATGCGAGTTATCAAATGTCTTTTAGTTTTACCTATATATGCTGCCCTACAGCTAGCACGCGTAAATTGATAAACAACTGAGGATTGCAGGTGTGTGGGTATGGTGTCTTTAATTTTAAATAATTTTTTAATTGAATTATGGGTTTTAAAGATTAGTCTAAGATAAATTTGTGGATAGAATTCATTGAAAAGCTTCTTAAGTTTATTTCTAAGGGTGAAACTGAGTGGGCCTATGTACGGGTTGGTGAAATAGAATATTTAGGGACGATGTAGATTTGAGGCTGTGTGGGACTAAAATATCTATTAAGGGTTTTTCCAATATAAGTGTTTGTAAATCTCTTAGGGAAACCATTGTTAAATAGTAGTTCCTTTATGTATTTTAGTTCAATGTCCAAGTGGAAATAGCTTGAACATATATTAAATGTTTCGTTCATGAATTGTCGGTGATATCTGCTTCACTCTTACATACAACATTATTATTACCAGGTTAAGTGTTATACTTTTACATAAATCATCAATTTATATAATTTACTTATCCAAAATGGCTTTGTCTGGTCATTAGTTTAAGTATTTCGTTATTTACGTATTTTAGAAGTTAGATTTGTAGTTGCAACATAAATATGTTTGACAATAATGTGCTTCTTCTAGGGATGAATGCAAAATAGTGGCATGCACACGACCTGAACTATGAGTACCAACTTAAATGCATTTGTACTTATGTACACTCGGAAACCATAATCTCTAGCCCACCTGGGTCGGTGCTGGAGGTTAGTACAGTGTCCTTTTTGGACGGGGGCCCACTCTAACTATCACGAGGCAACACACGCACGAACACACACAGTCATAGTACGGCTGTATAGATGTCATTATGTATAAATATTGTATATGGCATTTTATACTCTGCTTTATCTTCATTATAGATGAACAGGAAGAAAAAATGCCATAGGTTGTAGTTACGAAAGTATGAATGGAAATAAACACTTCCAAACCACGCAGTGACTCCACACAACGTGTGTGTGTGTGTGCCAGACCACGATGCTTCCCATCATTCGCATAACTATATGAAAAATCGTGTATAATTTAACTACATATTTCAAAAACCTTAAAATAAATGTGGATGAGTCACTCCTCATTTGACACACTTATAGTGTGATACTTTGACCATCCCACCTGGGCACATGGAGGCCCACGGTTACTCTCACGGGTCAACTTACGCACGAACACACAAGTTATGATATGAACCCTTCCAGGCTTCACTATCATTATCATGTTGTGTTCATCGTGCTCCGTATCTTGGTAACTATAGTATCAATATATGACAGTGTTATTAGTATAATATTGTAACTTTTGCCCTACAGTTATTGTTGTAAATCATGGACAGGAAGGATACACATTAATTGTAATATCAAGTGTATGGTTCGCTCAAAGCCACCCCAAGTCAGACAACGCGTCACACAAAGTTACACTGTGTGTGTGTGTGTGTGTGTGTGTGTGTGTGTGTGTGTGTGTGTTATGTAACATTAAGCTTCATCCTCAGTAGGTAAGATGTTTCATAAAGAGGTTTCTCCCATTCGTCATTGTGAGCATCGTCCCAGAACACATTGTTTCCATCAAAACCATGGTTCATCCTTATTTCTCTTCTTCCGTGCAACTATATCCATATGGCTAAGCGCTTGCTTTTCATTTCTTTATTTACCAAAATAATGTGGATCAGTTACTCTTTATTTAACACATACATGCACTTAGAGCATCAAGATTGTTTTGTAGGCATGACAATTGGTTAATTGAAACCCAAAAAATATTTTTCACATTTATTATGCATAAACATTGTAAACATATCTATGTGATTATTGTAGTATATAAAATATATTTAATGTCTGGACAGATTCCCAAGAGTTATGCATATTAATGCATAGATTTTGTAAGCATATTTATGCGAAGTGACGTAAAACCACATTGTAAAATTCCCGAGAGTTAGGAAACGAAGTCTATGTGGCCCCAACGAGGTTACACCGGAGAGCTAACTCCCCCGCCACCCCCTACAAGGCACCGTCGTGGGCGGAGATTTAATTCTTGACCACAGGTTAATACCGTGTCCAACCTCAATCTGCTGCTATAACGTCATGCAATCTGGTGGGCATGGAATCTACCACATTGCTGCAGATGTTCGGCCTCCTCCTTATTCCCTCCAACAAGTTATGTGCGTGTCTCCTCACTGCCTCCCTCGTTTCTCCTCAACATCCCATTTAACAACCATATGCGCCCATAGATTTTCTATTGGATTACAATCAGCTCCTTTAGGGGGCTAGTCCAATAGAATAATCTGCGGGTGCGCCTCAAACCAACGCTTGACTGCCTGACTTGTATGTATTGGACTGCGGTCTTGCACCATACATATAGGCTGTGGGTCTGGGATGGCATGAGTTGCTGGGAGGATGGTTAGCAGTTCTGTTGAGCTGGCAGGTAGACAAAATAGAAAATTCACAGCCAAACTGTAAGAAAACCCATGGACAATGAGACATTAGTAAAATATACTAGGTCATTTTAGGGCGTGCATACATTATATACAGACCTATTGTTCCTTGCAAGGCTGTTTGGTTATGCTATGCTAACTAGTTTGCTAGGGTGAGGGACAAGATCCTTGCATTTGTTGAGAAGAGTGTATGTATATTATGTATGTTGTATGTATACCATGAATGTACTCTATATATATACATCACTTCTCTAGTCAGTAGCGTGTGGCAATGCCCTTGTTTCATGTCACCACACGCTTAGATAAATGTGCCTGGCGACATCTGGAAGCTGCTAATGTACCACTTACCACATGTCGCCTGAGAGGTCAGAGAGAGGTCAGTTGACCCATATAGGAGTGTAGGAACTACCTGCGCTTGTATGCACACCTTGTATATTTCCGTTAATAAGAACCCACAGAACTCTACAGGTGTTTATGTTCGCCCCTGTAGTTAGAACCAAGTACCCCGAACATCTCCATGGCGCAGTGAGTATCAAGTGATCGATTAAGTGGAAATAAGTGCGTTCATGTAAATCAAGGCCGGTAGACCTCCTCCGTCAACTCTGTCATCCGTCGCCATTGTCTCCCACAAAAATTCGTTTGAATTACCAACGAGTTTTGAGCGGTGTGCAGTGACCGTAATTTCCTGTGAAGTGTCTTTAAGTGCCCCTCGTGTGTGTGTAGTGTTAAAGTGTGTGTCCTTGTCTTAAAGGATTCCCTAAGGTGGAAGGCTGATATAAGGCATTTGTGAGGAGTGGTGCATCAGCGCGACCGTCCCAGGCTGCCTCGAGGGTAACTCACCCCCCACTGCTCACCCCCCACCGCCTCGCCTCCCTCCGCGCTCCACCGCGCCTACACACACCAACCCACGCACGAACACACTGACCCCGGTCATTTCTTCATATATATATATATATATATATATATATATATATATATATATATATATATATATATATATATATATATATATATATATATATATATATATATAAGTTACTTATCTGTGTATTCAATTAATTTTGTTATCTCAGATCTGGTTGACACGACGGGCTGACCGGTCAACACTGATTTGAGATACAATATACAGATAAAGTAATTATGCCCCGGGCCTCACGCAGGGATGTCCCGAGCGCCCGGATGAATCAGACGGATGACAGCTCTACAGAGATGGATGACCAGTCGGAGCGCGACGCCCCACCCTCTCCCAACACATCTCCCAGCCACACCCCTCTACGCTCAGCCTCGTCCTCAGATATAATTGCTCTGATGAAGCTTATGAGGGAGGAAATGCGTCAGGACGAAGCGAAAAGACATGCTGAGGACCACCAAAGGAGATTTGAAGATAACGAACGGTTTGCAGCTTTGATATCTAACCTCACTGCTAATCAAGCCCTTGGCCCTTCCACTACTCAGGTACCGACTGGCTCAGATGCCTCGTCAATGCCCTCTACCAAAGTGGTTTTCCAACCCCCACCCACCTTGAAGCCTGATGAGACTTTCCAGACTTTTCGTGAGTGGCGGCGACGGTGGACTGATTATGCTACAATGGTGGATCTCCAGAGCTTGCCACAGCCTAAACAACTCATTCAGCTACGTATGTGCCTGTCTTTGGGAACGCAGCATGTGTTGGAACACACGTTGCAAGTGCAACCGACGTCATTGTTGTCTGTAGAGGAGGTACTGGATGTTCTAGAACGG